AAACATTTAGGGATTTCACCTTTCAATCAAGATACAATTGAGAGTTTATGCTTCATTATGCTGTCTGATGCAGTTTTCAAATAACACCTCCTCCCTGTCAGCGCTTAAAGACTGTAGCAGTTAAACTTATGTCGGATAAATAAGGGAGGACCTCAGAGCCCTTAGAATTTAGTAAAATGACAGCGAACGCAGTGACTGCTGAGGCCTTAAGCATTTAATTCACTCCTTTAGCCGGAGGAAGCACGTCTCTTACGGAGTCAGCGGCAGGAGTGTTGGGGTGGTTCAGGCGAAGGTTCGGGCCACGATGCTTTTACTCTCGGATTTTGGTTGTCACTTTCTCCTGCTGTTTCTCCCCCTTCATTATGGTCAAAGCGTCTGATAAGGGTTGGTCTTAAAATGTAAGCAACGAAGACTCGTTCGCAGGACAGGAGCTTTTGTAGGTGCGGACTGGAGTAGTGGGGGAAGCGCAGGAGCGGCGCCCGCAGGTCTCGCCGGGGAGAGGGGAGAGGGGAGAGGGCCGCCCCGCGCCGAGAGCAGTCCCCTGGCCCGAGGGCCGTGGAGGCCGACTCGCTGTGTCCGCCCGTCCGCCGCGGACTCACCTCCCTGCTGGCCTGGCGGACGGTCTGCACCAGGAACACCCTGTGGGGGCTCCCCTGCTGGTAGTTGATGCAGTTCTCCGCCACCGAGGCCGCCTTGGCGGCGGGGTGCTCTGTCGGCGGGATTTCCATCTCGGGCAGCGGCGGCCGGGCGGCAGGCTGCTGGAGCTCGGCGGCCGGGCGTCGGCTCCTCCTCGCTCCCCGCTCGCCCCTCCCTGCCCGCTGCCCGGAGTCAGGAAGCCGCCCGCCTGCTCCCGGCTTCCGCGTGCCGGAGCCCCTGGTCCCGGCGGGAGCGGCGTGCGGGCGGGACTTCGTCCTTCCTGCTCCCAGCCTGGCCCGCAGTGCGGGGCGGGGCTTTCCGGACTCCGCCCCTCGGGGCGATGCCCCCGGCCCTGCAGATTCCGCCCGCGACAGGAGCGCGGCTCCCTTCCACGCCACGCACCGTGACGGGCGCCGGGCGAAGTGCGGGGAAGCGCCGGGTCCTGCGCGGTTCCCATCCCTTCGTTTCCCGCCCGTCGAGGGCGTCCAGGAACAGGCTTGCTCATCCCCGACTTTTGTAGGGTTGGACCACTTCTGACCAAGAGTCTGCGACTGCGAACTGTGGCATTAGTTTGGAGGATTATGTAATTTGGATCAGGAGAGAGACAAAAATGCACCTGCAGCCCTCTCGCCCTTTACTGATCTTAGAAAGATGAGGTTTTGATATAACACCATGCTTCCAAGTTTCTGATTCACTGAAATTTTTACTTTCAAATAAGTACTTTAAACTTTCCAAAGCCCTACATTGAGGTAGCTTCTAACAAAAGCAGGATTTTTAAAGCTGCTTAAGCAAGCGCAGACTTTCAGCAGGCCTTGCGTTTCCACTCTCTAGATCTCCTCATTACCTTCTTGTGTCACCTTTAAAGGAACTGCTGGGTTTGCTCTGGATCAGGAAGCTAAGGTTCCTTGTCGTTACGCGTGTGACCAAACTGTCCCTTTAGCTTGTTGGCTTGGAAATAAAGATTCTTTGCTCTTTTTCTCAAAATGGAGTTTTGAAGGCTCTTTGAGTAGACATATGTTGTGGTGATGCTTTTTTAAAAAAAGTTAACAAAAATGTATTTGTAATATGTTGTTTTCCTCAGAAACCCTTTTCAATTTATTTGTAAATAAAGTCTTTCTATCGAGGAAGTAGCTTTTTAAAAATAGTAAGCACTAAGGCATTTCCCATCCTTTCTAGTTATATTAGCCAACAACTGTCAAGTCACTGGAGGATGAATGGGTTAGTTTTTCTTCTGAAGGCTTTTTCTAAAAGATTGAAGGTTTTTTGCAGGGAAGGGTGGTGACTCATTCATCCTTTGGCCAACCTTTTAGGTTGTCACTGTGTGTATGTGTGTGAATTGTTTGAATTATGTGCTCCTTTCATAGTGTCCAGGAAAGAGTGGCTGAGTACATTCTGATGACGCAGAAAGAACTTTTTGCTGCTAATGAAATTTTATTTTTTTGGTGAGGAAGATTAGCCCTGAGCCAACATCTGTGCCAATCTTCCTGTATTTTGTATGTGAAACGCAGCCACAGGGTGGCTTGGCAAGCGGTGTGTATGTCTGCGTTCTGGATCCAAACCTGTGAACCCTAGGCCACTGAAGCAAGCCCACGAACTTAACCGCTATGCTACTGGGCTGGCATCTGATAATAAAATTTTAAGGTTTCACAATTAGCTGGTTAACATCTCCTGTGTTATTACCAGTTAGAGTTGTGAGAAGTACAATATGTGAGCTTGCTAGATGAAGTCACCATTTTGAAGCTTTGTGAATACAATTATCATCTCTGTAGATCAAGACTGATAACATGTTATGACACATCAGGCATTTACTAAAAGTACACATACCGATTTAGGTTCTTTTTAAATAGAATTATTACACTAAAAGAAATTAACTGCCTATTTAGGTGTTAAATAAACTACATTAAGAGAATCTCATTCCTGTATTTGAGTCCTTGAAATCTTAGTTGCTTGCTAAGGCTTCACAAATGGTTAGTCAAGAGATCATTATCCTTAAACTTGAGTATGTGTGGATTACCTTGAAAGTAACAAAATTATTATGAGTCTCTGGCATCAGGTAAATTAAATTGTTATAGCTTTATATAACTATATGAACATAAAACTAAGTAAAAATGCCTCTGGCTTACAACTTTGGTACGACTATAAAATTAAAAGAAATCTGCAAAATAGAAACAATAAAACCAACACAATTCTAATTAACATCAATTGTAATGAGTCGTGATGTTTTGCCAAAACTAAATTCTGCAGCACGCCAGTGGTCTGGCAGAGGGCATGGGTTCTTTTACCTTCAGCTTTCCTATTAGCTGCCTACCAAGTGATGTCTTCCTTCTTCCACCTCTTCTCTACTGGAGCTACTGTAAAATCTGTCTTTGTGCAGCGCCCCCAATGGCTTTTGAAGTGAATGCATTATTTGCAGGTTAAGTTAGTTTATATTTTTATTAGCCTTCTAGAAAAATGTTTGATTAAGAGCATTGGTTTTGGTGCAAATCCTGGCTCTGCCACTTAATATCTTTATCACATCTGGCAAGTTACCTAGCTTCTCTGACCCTCAGGTCTCACGTCTGTAAAATGGTGATAAAAATAGTATCTACTTCCTGGGTTTGTGGTAAAGAACAAGTAAGACAATCCATAAAAGTGTTTGACACAAGCCTGGCACATAGGTGTTTTGTAATTTGGCACCCAGTTGATTGTGAACCCAGCCACGGTCCCTGAAACTGCACGGGTGACTTGTTTGCGAGTTGGCCTCCAGAGCAGCACTGTCTGGTAGCACTTTGTGCAGGGGTGGAAGTGTTCTGTCCTTGTGTCCCCTACAGGAGCCACTCTCCACATCTGCCTGTTGACCCTTGAAATGTGACTGCTGCAATTGAATTTTTAATTTTATTTAATTTTAATTAATTTAAATCTGAATATCCATGCTTAGTGATTACCATATAGAGAGCACATCTCGAGTATGTTGTATAGATGTTATATTGTTGTCAAATCAAAACAAATTTACAATGTCCCAGAGAACTCGTGCATCCCTGAGGATATGCCAGCGGCTGCGCTGTTGCAATCTGGTCAGTATCCTGCGGGGACTTGGCAGTTGCTTCTCTTCTGCTTTCCTTCTCAGTTCTGAGAGCTGTTTTTCCCCTCCCGGGAAGTTAGCCTTTCGGCAGTTTTTCCCTTGCCCATCCTGAAGTCTTGCCTTCTGGAAGACTGTTGAAACGCACTTCCTCAGGCATGTCACACTTGGCCTCTTTATGAAGTCTGCTTGTTGCGAGCTGGCAGCTCCTACCAAAATTGATACTTTTGTGGATTTTTTTGAGGAAGATTAGCCCTGAGCTAACATCCGTGCCCATCTTCCTCTGTTTTATATGTGGGACGCCAGCCACAGCATGGCTTGACAAGTGGTGTGTAGGTCCACACCCGCGATGGGAACTGGGGAACCCCAGGCCACTGAAGCGGAACGTGCAAACTTAACCGCTGTGTCCCCCCCCTCCCCCGGACCGGCGCCTGATAGTTACTTTCTGAACACCGCTCGGAGATCTGTCTGCAGGATCTCACACTCATTAATGTCCATTTACCTGCAGTTGTCTGCAGAAAATTTGAAAGCAGCTGGCCTCTTCCATTTTAACAGTCTTGAGGAAGGTTTCAGTTTAAAGGAAGAAATGCTTTGTGAACAGTAGATACTCAAGAAATGTTTTTTCAATGAAGTAGTAGCTTATGTTTACGTATGTTAAATATGTATGCAAAATGCTTATTCTGTCATACTTCTGTTGGCGGTAGTGGTTTGACGTAAACGCCTGTGCCTATATATGTTTCTATTTGAATGGCTTTCTTATGTTACTCATTTTGAGGTGTTCATTATTCCACTTGAAGCTCCCTGCTCTTGAATTGTTCCAGTCTGTGATGTCCAAGCAGTAAATCAAATAGGCACTATCTGAATAAGTTACCTGCGGGGCGCCTGCTTTCAACTAACTGTCCTCAGTGTAGAGACTGAAGGAAGGAACACTGCGTGGCCAGGAAGGGAGGCGTTCCAGGAGAAGTGGGCAAGCTCTTCAGAGTGCCAGAACAAGAACCGTAGACTGACTGACTATTTTAGTCACTCGACTTTTACTTTTTTCTACTTGTGAATTTCGGAATTCGCAGAATTAAAACCATGGATTACTTTGGTGGTGTTCCCCACCCCCACTTCCAAGTAAGAACAGAAAGGAGAGGATTCCTTTTTAAATAAATTCTACAATAAAATTTCATAGCAAAGCTATCATATTCAAAGGAAAAAGTTAAAATGATGAAATGTGGCTTTTCACTTAAATTAGAAGTTATTTCGTTTTGGTAATTACATAATGTTATATTGATTTTGTTTTTTCTTCTTAAATCACTTTCAGGTTTGAGTTTACACATAAAAAACAGTCAGGTGGTGCAGGTCAGTTTGGAAAAGTGATAGGCGTTCTGGAGCCTCTGGACCCAGAGAACTACACTAAGTTGGAGTTTTCAGATGAAACATTCGGGGCAAATATTCCAAAGCAGTTTGTGCCTGCTGTAGAAAAGGTAAAAAACAACAACAAAAAACTGTCTTGCATTTTTTTTTTAAATCAAAAACAGTTTATTAGGTGTTAAATTACATTTCCATCACAGTGTCTTCCATGATTCATTTTAATTACGGTCCTGCTTCTTTATCTGATTGTCCAGCTTTCCATCTGATTTAGAATCTTTAATTCGTTAAGTTCAAGAGCTATAAATATATGCTGTGACAATGATGGGAAACCATTCTGTTTCTTAATCATAGTTATTCTATTTCTCTTGATAAATTGAAGCCTCTTCGTTGATTGTAATCAGCAGTTGAAATTTGTAGTCGTCGTTAGGGTCTGTGAAAGTTTTAGGGGCACTGTTGTAGTTGGATAATCATTTGTCACGAGTGCCCACACTTGGGTGCTGCCAGCGTCCCTGCGCCTGATCAGCGTGCTCTTTGGTCGGTCGCGGTGTGCAGAGCCAGTTTCTTCGTTTGTAAACCAGCAATAAGATACTTAAGCTTGAACCTGTCGCTGCAGTGAGGCTCCGGTGAGCTGCTGTGACATTCCTGGGAGCCGCGACGTGCTGTGTACACGTAGGGCTGGTGTGTTGGCTCTGGAGGTCCCTGCTTTCAGGAACGTTGTAAACCTTTAGCAACTGTCTGTTCTTATAGATTGGGGTTTTCAGTGTTTTTATTTTAACCTGTTAACTTAGAAATCTTTATTAACAGATTATAATTTTGGTTTCAGTGGTGGTAGCATTTTTTGTGATTAGTATATTTCATTCGTTATACTTTATTTCAGGACAATATTTTGTTCACACACTTTTAAATTATCTTCTGTTCTCCATGATAAACAGAGGTGAGGGAGAGCTTAGATGTTCACATACAGAGTTTACAGCTTTGAAATCTCAGAAATGTACCGTATGTGGAGCTGTATGATTGTCTTGCCAAGAAAAACTCACTTGATTTGTAGGAGCTGTACAAATATTTAAGTGATTGAACGAAAAAGAATTGCAAACTTATCAAATTGTGTTCTTTAATATGTATAGTTTATTGTATATCAGTTATACTTCAATGAAGCTGTCTTTTAAAAAAAGAATTTCATTTGGAAAACTGAAATTACTTTTTAATTCCAGCTCTTACTGACGTTTGTGTAACAGTAAAGTAATCTGCCAATGAGACAAAGCAATAATAGGTGTATGGCAGGAGCTCAAGACACAGCTGTTGAGTAAACGCCAATTTTGTTGGAGGTTTGCTTTTAGGGTGTTCCTTAGATCTGCCTTTCCTCTGTTTCCTCCTTGTAAAATTAAGATCATGCTGTCTCTGTAATGGGTTATGAGAGTTAAGGAAGTCCTGAAGATGAGATTATGAGAAAGTGGTTATTAGCACTTCCAGCATCACTTCCAGACCAGCTCACACTTTAAGTAATATGCTTTTCCAAGGGATTGCTCATCTCAATGCCACAATGATAAAACTTAAACAGTAAAGCTGTTCAACTTTCTTAAGTTCCTTTCTTGAGGAGTGAAATATAGCATTCATAAAAATGTTAAACTTGTGAATACTAAAATGGGGGAGAGGGGCTTCTTGGTAATTCATCCACAAGTGAAATCCACTTACTCCAGAAGTTGTGTTCATTCATTAACAGGGGTTTTTGGATGCCTGCGAGAAGGGCCCTCTTTCTGGTCACAAGCTCTCTGGGCTCCGATTTGTCCTGCAAGATGGAGCACATCACATGGTTGATTCCAATGAAATCTCTTTCATCCGTGCAGGAGAAGGCGCGCTTAAACAAGGTACTCTGTGTCCTGGCTCTTGCCGCATCACTGTATCTGTTTCCCCTGGTGGACCATCAGAGCCTCAGAAGGCAGCGCTGTGTTTTGGTCTTCTCCCCTGAGAACACTAGGCAGCACACCAGGGAACGTGGAAGGCCCTGGGCAAATATTTATAGAATCGGGGGCCGGCCCCATGGCCGAGTGGTTGAGTTCTCGCGCTCTGCTTCGGTGGCGCAGGGTTTCGCTGGTTCGGATCCTGGGCGCTGACATGGCACTGCTTGTCAGGCCATGCTGAGGGGGCATCCCACATGCCACAACTAGAAGGACCCACAACTAAAAATATACAACTATGTACCGGGAGGCTTTGGGGAGAAAGAGGAAAAATAAAATCTTTGAAAATATATAAATGTATTTATAGAATCACAGTGAGGATAGATTACTGTCTTCTCTTTCTTGCAAAATTAAAAGCCTACTTTGTTCTCTCCTAAATTATCTGATGTTTTTCGTATGTTTAAATTAATGGATAATCTGTCAGTTCTATTTTTAATAGAGAAGATAGAAATGCTCAGAATTCTGAGAAAATTTTAAACAAACATTAACTACAGTAGTGCTATTTTTGGTGACTTACTCAGATGTCAGGAAATCCATAAATTTGCAATTTTTTCATGTATGACATTATATGCTTTTAGGCATTTTGAGAATGGCACAGTATTTTGAAAGAATTCAGTAAACCCTATTCCCAGTGCAGACCTCTTGCCAAACTGCTAAAATTGTCAACCTTTTTCACACAGAGTAATATGTGTATTAAAACCCTGATGAACCAGAACCCTAAGTAATTGCAAATACATCTGATTTATTGCTTTTAAGAGAGGAAAGCAAATGACAACACAGCAGTTTGACCTCAGGCTTTTTAACAAAGGAACTTCCGAGTTGTGTCCCGAAGCCAGAAAGGTCCCTCTCTGTCGTCTCTTCCACGCCCGTTACATGGTGATTCGTTAGGATGCCCAGAAGTGTCTCTACACAGGGGAAGGATATGATGATTCAAAACATTTCAGAAATATTTCTGTCCAAGAGGGTCAAAATGGACAGTAGAAAATTAGGTAAATCGTAATACGTTTCCTAAGCATTCTGTAAATCAGGATTTTATTGATTCTGTGTGAGTTTTGGACTTGACGTTGTTTTTGGTCTGTTTGCATCTGCGATCAGATGTGGGGCAGTGGTTGGAGGATGTTTCTCATTCCTTGGGCAGGTTGCTAGTTCCTTATTTTCCTTACCTGCCTCACTTACAGTGATGGGAGCCGCAGTGACCTGTGTTAGTTTCTCAGTTGTGAGAGGGGAGGGGCTGCTCCATCTCCTTCATGTGAGCTGTCTCACTTACAGTGATGGGAGCCGCAGTGATCTGTGTTCTAGTTTCTCAGTTGTGAGAGCGGAGGGGCTACTCCATCTCCTTCATGTGAGCTGCCTCACTTACAGTGATGGGAGCCGCAGTGATCTGTGTTCTAGTTTCTCAGTTGTGAGAGGAGAGGGGCTGCTCCATCTCCTTCATGTGAGCTGCCTCACTTACAGTGATGGGAGCCGCAGTGATCTGTGTTCTAGTTTCTCAGTTGTGAGAGGGGAGGGACTGCTCCATCTCCTTCATGTGAGCTGTCTGTTAAAACTGCATTGGGAATCTCTGATCTGGAAATCTTGTCACAGTCTGAAGACTGTGTTAATAGAAAAAGGGGAAATAAAATCACAAAGAACATAAGACTTTGTTAGGCATAATTCAGGTTAAAACACCTGCCTCTTGCCCTCTAGGTGTTTAACACTTTAATAAATCTAAACTGACAAATTAGTTGTAATCACTTCATATTCCTTTTTTCAGCTTTGTGGAGGTATAATTGACAAATAAAATTATAAGATATTTAAAGCATACAATGTGATGATTTGATAAATGTATATACGTTGTGATACTTTTTTTAAAAACTACAGTTAAAACAAATTAGAAATCGCCAATTGTTCCATAGTGGTTCTTGACTGGAAATAGATATCTTTCTTGGAGATAAAAGTTATGTAAAGTGAGGTAGTTGGTGTAGTTATCAATTAACAATGAGCCTCATCGTTTTTAATTGCTCTTAGATGAAATGTAAACAAACATGGATGTATACGCCCATAATATACACACACATATCCATGAAAAAAGTCTGTATGTCTGTGAATATTAACTAAACAGGTGAATATGTACCATTTAATTTTTAATTATTTAAGTGTACAAATATTATTAAGTATGGTTAGTTGCCTGGCAGGTGTGCAAAGGAAAAGCACCAGATAATTGAATTGAGAAGTGTTGAGTTGTTTTGCCAGATAAACAGTACAAATAAGCAGGGTGCTAGCATGAAAAATGAATTACTTTGCTGTTTCTTCATCTGATTCTTATTTCTCCATGACTGAAAGACTAGAGAGTAAAGAGGTGAAAGGAAGTTTTTGCCAAGCTCAGTAAGAAAATCAGCTTTTCATGCATATACCTCCCTTGAATGCCATATCAGAGTTTTAGGGTGAAAATGTTAATAAATGAGCTTAGTAGCACAATAGCTTATAACTTATCAACTATTTTCTATTGTCAGAGTTGGAGGAAAAATAGTCCAAATTCTCATGTATTTTTCATTAAAAAGATGAAAACTGGAACTATTTTCAGTCACGATTTAAACTTTGTGCCTGAGATTAATCAGTGATGTAGCTAAAACTGAAATGTGAAATTGAATGTTCTTTCTGGTCATGTTTCACCTTAGGGATGTGACTGTTGCTGTCATTTTCTCTGGCCAGTTTTTAGAAAGAGCACTATGCTTGGTCTCCCCAGAAACGTTGGACCTGTAGCCACTCTACTAAAGGCCTACCCAGAGGCATGGTTAGCTCATGTAACTCGACAGTGCCCCGTTTGCCATCGCTTGCCCCATTGCATGATGGGCTTTGAGTTTGTATCCTGGCTGTACTCCATGCTTACTGTGTGGAAATCGGGAAGTCATTGGAACTTCCCCTCGGCTGCTTAGAGACACTAATTCCACAATATTAAATGAGAATGTACTTGAAAACACTTGCACATACCTATTTGGGCATAATGGATGCTAATCCCTCTTCCCTTCATATTACCTTTGACCTAGCACTGTGCCTTGCCACACATTCCCTGACCTTATGTCTCAGAGGGGTCATAATAACATTTATTGATCAGTTATGTGCTCTGTATTATGCTGAGTACGTGAATGATCATATTTTGTCTTCACAGTGACCTTACAGTTGAGAAAATTGGGACTCAGAGCAGTTAATTGAATGGCCCATGGTTATACGCTAGTTAGTGGTGGGGCTGAGAGTTAAACCCTAGACTGGAGTCCTCGCCCTTGACCACCTCCTCACACAGCCTCTTCAGCGCCTGGCCTGGTGTTAGCAACGTTCTTCCTGCTGGGCTGAAACAGAAGCATTACCACCTCTACCCACCACTTTAGGCTCAAAAGGTCCTGTGATGATGTTGGTATTTTTACTTCCTATCTTACGAAGCTACAGACCACGTGGATCTGCTTGAGGGAAAATTGTTTTTAGGACTTGGCTGCCGTGTGACTGTTGAAAAACTGCAGGGTGAATTAGCTCTGGGCTTTGTCACCTGGAATGGGGTTAGTGGAAAGCATGGATAAGGGCAGTCTTGGGAAGTGAGTGAGGAGGTGGATTTAAGAAGGAAGGGAGCAGGGTGAGGGAGCATGAGACTGAGAACTGAACAGGCTCCTCCACAGTTAGGTGACGGGCACTGTGCCCTTGGCGCCTGCCTTCGCTTTAAATCTGACCCCTTCGCAGTCCAGCTCTCCTAGATGGCTGACCTGCTGAGAAGACTGGACAATGGACAACTAGATCTGCGTGTGTCTGCTGGCGTCCCCCTCTCTGGCTGCCTTCGTCTATATTAATTGCGTTCGTTAGAGCCCAGGAAGCCCTGCCCTTGTGATAACCCAAGAAGTTCCAAGCAGGAGAGCTGTAGCTAGAGTCTAGGGTTGTCAGTGTGCTGCTTTAGAGGAATGCGCAGGTTCTGCAGGGCGCAGCTCATGAAGCTTAGGAGCCTGCAAAGTTCAGTTATTCCTCTTTTTGGAACAAAATTCACTAATTAGAACTAATTGGTCACAGGTAGGTCTGAGCTAGGATACGATTTGAATTAGAAAATATTTCAAAGGAATGCAAATATGTTAAATGGCTGTTCTGATAATTATACTTAAGCTAATAGTGTCATTAGAAGTACTTTAAGAATATACAAGAATGATTGCTATTTGGTTTATTAGACACAATGTCTTTGTTTTGTAGGTGAGGAAACTTGAGATTGAACAGATGGTGTTTTTCCAAAAGGCATATAACTTGTTAGAGGCAGAGCAGAAACTAGAAAGTTGGTTTTCTAGTTCTCTATCCGGTGTTGAAATTGTTCAGTGTAGACAAGGAAAGACCAATCTCAGGCATGACTTGATTATCATCTCCAAGTATATGACGGTGCCCTCAGCCCCACTCCCGCCCATGATAAAAAGTTGTTGTCTTACAGTTCAAAATAACTGTCTGCCAGGAACCAACAAGAAAGGATGGGTTTGCCCTGGTCAAAGACTTAACAGTTTGTGTCTTTTCTCCTGAAGGTTTTCAGGAGAGAATAAGTTACCCTCAGCTCAATAATTTTGGTAAAGGACTTGATCGAATGTTGTTTTAAGACCCCTTTCATATTATTCTCTGCAGCTTAATGATTTTAAGGATAAAAATATGGTAATGGAAGTACTCTTACTAGAATGAAGTGTTATCTTATTGGAACTTGCATTTGGAAGAGTAACTGTTCCTGCTGCTAGGAACTGAGGCTCATCAGAAATTGTAACCTCATTGTTGGTGTGCGGACCTTGGGAGAGCAGCATCCAGCTCCCTTTTGTGGATCTAGATAGAAAAGAGTCCCAGTTTGTTTAAAGATGAATAAACTAATTTATTTATTTTTTTAAAATCCAGCCTTGGCAAATGCAACGTTATGTGTCCTTGAGCCTATTATGTCTGTGGAGGTTATAGCCCCAAATGAATTTCAGGGATCGGTGATTGCAGGAATTAACCGGCGCCATGGGGTAATCACCGGACAAGATGGAATTGAGGACTATTTCACGTTATATGCAGACGTAAGTACTGTTCTCACTGACAATCTTGCTCTTATTAACCACAAGAGGGAATCAGAGTTAGCTTTAGTTTTTGGAGATTGTAGAGCAAGTCGACACATTGCCCTGGCTGTTTGAGTGTTGGATTTGTGTCTCATGTATGTGTGGCAATTTCTATAATTTGCTGTTAGAACAACTCTTAAGTGCAAAAGCTAAAAATAAGATTCATTTCATTGAGGCCTTTTGTGAATATGTCATTTTCTTAGATTTATAGTTAACCTTTCTTTCTCTTTATAGCTTTATTTGCATAACTGCTTTATTATGTTCTTTCTCATTTATTGGGAAATATTTCATTGCTTTGCTAAAATGTACCTTGCTTGACTTAAATCTTGGGAGCAAGGGTTTATCACATTATAGAAAGCCTCCTAGAAGATACAGCTATCAGCGTATCACTGAAGTGTCCAAAGGAAGGTTGTATTAACGTTTTCACAGAAGAAACACTTCTGAATGCCTGAGCTGCAGCCAGAGAAGTGGGTGGGGATGAGGGAAGGCTGTCGGTGGCCGCCACTCTGAAACTCAAAGATCTGCTTTCCACTTGTGACTGTCAAATGAAATTATTTTCAAATAAGGTCTCTACTTTCAGTAAAACAAAAATGTTTCTCTTTGGCTGTTAATTCTTTTAAGCCAGAGTACTTAGTAGAAATGTGAGTCTAAAGGAATTAAGTGGCTAAGGCTTTTCTGTTTTTCTCAAATATTCTTCCATAAGCAATGCTGAAATGTCACTGCTTGTTTTCAGGTCCCTCTAAATGATATGTTTGGTTATTCCACTGAACTTAGGTCATGCACAGAGGTAAGCAAGCATCTAAACTTTACTTCTTGCCCTTCAAGAGACCACCCTACAAAATGATCAAATTTATGAAATCTTCTCTTTGCATGACTTTGATAGTTGTTAAAAAAAAAGAAAGAAAGAAAATCTCTCCTTTTTTTTTACACTCCTAGGGAAAGGGAGAATACACAATGGAGTACTGCAGATATCAGCCGTGTTCACCGTCCACACAAGAAGGCCTCGTTAATAAGTATTTGGAAGCTACAGGTCAACTTCCTGTAAAAAAAGGAAAAGCCAAGAACTAACCTTTCTCACTTTAAGTTGACAAACTGAATCTGCAAGGTTTAGATACTTTAATGGATTCCAGCGGAATGGATTCAAGCTGAAATAAATTTTAGAAGCCCTTCCTGTTTTGTTTAGGAGCTTCTATTATATTCAAAGATAATTCTATGTATATCTCAACTCGATTGGTTTTATGGTTCATTGAAAAACCTCAAATAAAATATGATTATTACTGAAATATATTTAATATTTATCTAAGGGGAGAAGAGACTAATTTCAGTTATACTTCTGAGCTTAGAATATATGTTAACTTCCTTTCCAAAATTTTTATCGTAAGAATTTTCAACATATAGAAAAGCTGAAACAAACAGTATAAATAACAGCATGTATCTTCTATCTAAACAACAAACAATCTTGTTAACAGTTTATCAGATAGTAATTTGTTTTGTCATATTTGCTTTATCTGTTTGTCTATCATTTGCCTACCTATCTCTTTATTTAAAAATTTTTTTTTAATTATTGTTTTGCTGAATACTTGAAAGTGAATTGCATAAATCATGATGCTTCTTGGAGTGTCCTTTTTTTTTTTGTGCTGAGGAAGATTTGCCCTGAGCTAGCATCCATGCCAGTCTTCCTCTATTTTGTATGTGGATTGCCACCACAGCATGGCTGCTGACAAGTGATGTAGGTCTGCACCCGGGAACTGAACCCAGGCCACCAGAGTGGAGCCACCAGACTTAACCGCTAGGTCACCGGGCTGGCCCTGGAGTGTCATCTTTTAATGAGCAGCCTTTTTTGTTCAAGTGGATTCCATGTGTTCTTAATGGAGAATGTTTTTCAGATTCTTCATTGGGATAGTAAAATGCTAGCTAAATTTCTAGCTGTTTTATATATAACCAACTGCTTCAATTTGTGACTTGTCCAAATTTATAACTGCCTTCCTTGCAGACCTGTGAAACGAAGAACAGCCCCTTGCGCATGCTCTTCTTGTCTCTGTTCTTCTGAATGTCTCTGCGGCTCTAAAAAGAAAATAGAGTTTAAAGAGTTGCTGACCAGTCAGTTTCATTCACGTAGTAAATTCTAGTTGAATTTGAGTCTGTTGGAATTTATCATATATTGTATTCATGGAGAGTGTGAAAGAACAAATGTTAAGCTTTTTTTCCTAGAATGAGGTGGACTTTCCCAGGTACTTTTACCATGCTGTTCCGAATTGCTTCATCCAAAAAAATCATCTGATGTGATAGATAACATCCTAGTCCTTTCTCTTGTGGACAGTAGAAATAAAATAACTTTTAAATTCCTTTGTTTTTCTTGACTTATAGATTTGGCTTTA